GTTTATAGTTTATGCATTTAAAGCTGGACCAATCACACCGTTGGCGCCTCTGCGCATTGCCTCGCGCACTGCAGTAGCTGGATTAAGTTTACCTCAGTGCGGATCCCACACGCCTCCTTTCACTCTAACTGGATACGGGCTGACCTGTATGGATATTTACATCAATCCCCTGTGAGGATTTATGATTCTTTCCAGAGTTTTTGATCAAGGTAGGACTTTAAACACCACTCTGGTTAGCTCTGGTTGTACAGCTCTATGTGAACTGCAGGAATAACTTGTAGTCGCTTTCAGAGGTGCGTTGAGCGAGCGGTGAGAATGATTTATATTGTGAACAAAGAATTTTGTGCGGCTTTTCCATCTCAACACGCCGCCAGCGCCCGGCTCTGCCTGTGCTGGTAAAGTTTATCTATGTGGTCCCAGTTGGCTGGTGTGTTAGTTAACGAACCAGCGCTAACCTGATCATGCAGGTTCAGCCTGGTGAGGCGCTTTCACACTCTCCTGTCTGTAACGCATCACGCTGATTTTATATTATTATTTTTAGTAATATTTTTCTGGTTACTCAATGCATCAAACGTATCAAATGCTTTGTCCACTTAGTCAGACAGAGTTAATGTTCGCAGCGGTGCGGAGATCTGAGAAACTCGTCCCATAAACTCGACCAACCAGAATAGTTTCTGTGACGCTTATTAAAAACTCAAAATGAAAGAGCTACTAAAGCCACATTAGCAGCATTGAATTAAATCTCCCGTTTGTTGTGCATCTCTGTGTAGTGCAGCAGATTACCTCATCATGCAGGGCCGGTCCAAGGCTGTCTGAGGCCTTGAGCAGAATTTGATTTAGGGGCCCCTTTTGTTGCTAAAAACATCAGCACCTCTAACAGATGTGTTGGATTTAATCTGAGAGAGGGGGAGTAGTTTAATTGGCCAACCTAAAAAGCAGCCAGTTATAATTGCAGTTTACTAAATTGTATTTGTGAACAAACAGAACTCAAACTTAAAGATTAAACTCACAGCATCAGATTGTAGCTAGGGTAACAAAACAAGCTAACTATGAATATTGTTCTTTGAACTTTTACAAAGTAAACTTGCCAGCTCCTTAAAATCTTGCATTTAAATCTTAAACAATTTAAAATCTTTAAATTTATGTATGCTGAAATTGAATAAAATTTAGCAGCATTGATCATCTCCATAAACAAGTGTTACATTCATGTATCTGTGGTCTTTGTTAAAATATCAGCATTTATGGGGCCCCTGAAGCCCTGGGGGGCCTGATGGAGCTGCTGACTTAATTTGGATTAAACAAAAGTGCAAATAATTGATATTAATTTTAATGTATATTTTGATTTGTTGTTTTTAAGACTAGTTGTGGGTTTAAGTGGTGTTTCACTTGCGAAGTTTTCCCGTAATGTATAATTACCGAGTAATATTTTTAAATTTCCTATCATCTTAACATCTTTTAATACAAAAACACGGTGGACCGCCGGTGGACCGACCACCGGGCTTAGCAGGTTTTCTGGGGGAAACCCTCGATTCTATTATGTTTGAGAAGTCCTTTAATCTCCATGGCAACCATTCAGCTGCCTGGGTGGACCTAGCCCCGCCTTCGAGGTGCAGCTCCTCCCCCACTTAGCTCCTTCAGACTAGCCAGAAGCAATTAGCAAACACATGTTGAGCTTGCTATAGGAGCTGCTGCTCAGAGTAAAAACATTAAAGGGTTAACAGAGGAGCCATGGTGGGACTACTTCCTGAAGGCAGAGCTTCTTAAAGAAACAGGCTCAATTTCAAGAAGTTAAATCAGGAGGACAAATTTCTATTAATATTAAGCCATATTTGATATATATAATATTTTATAACAACTGAAGGTAACATAGCTACTGGATTGTGCTATAAAATGAAAGACAGATGATACTGGCTCTTTAAACTTTTTCATTTTAGTTCCATTCTTCCAGAAATAACTTTTACAATCTGAAGCATGAGAAGGAAGAGTGTGTAAGATCTCCATGTTTCTATCAAATTCATTACAATTTTGAGAAAACTTTTAAAGAAGTTGCTAAGAAAGTATTTCTGTTTAATGGTTTGGAATCATCCAGGCTACGCAAAGCGTGATGTCATCAGATGCTGACACTACACCTGGATGTAGGAAGCAGGAAGTAGAGGTCCAGAAAGTCCTCCCCTCCAAGATGGAGGAGTTTGGTGACTCTGGTAAGGCTCAGACCCATCAGTAGATGGCAGCATTTGCTACGTTAGAACTTGTTCAGCAAACCTGTATCCATCTCCGCTTTAACATATTAACACTTTTCTAGAAAAAAAAGGAAAATGCCTCAAGCGAGTATAAAAACATTTTTGCAAAACTGAGTTTTTGTCATTTCCATCAAACCTTTCTCATGCAATACTTTGAAATGGGCAGAAAGAAAAACGTTGACGGAAACTCGGCCCGTGAAGAAAGTCTTGGTGAAGGAAAACCTCTGAACCCAGAGAGGATGAGCAGGAAACCACCTGATTCGACCCGGTTCCAGTCTGTGAAACAGAAGCCAGGTTCTGCCAGAACAACCCGATCAGAACCAGAACCCAGACCTGGTACCAGGCGGTTGGTTCTGTCGATCCTCACCTGCTCTGCTTGTCCGTCCAGCCTTGTTCTCTCCCTCGGAGTGAAACCTCGAATCGAAGCCTCTTCGCCAGCTCCGAGATCTCCGCCTGCAGCGCCTCCACCTGCAGCACGAGGGTTGCTATGGTTACCATCACAGGAAGCATGTAACCTGAGGTCGTAGGTCAACATTAATCTAGTCTACAACTGGTCCCTTTTTATGCAGGTCTGTTGCCATGGTAACTGGTGCTGTAAATTGACCCTGATGACGTTAAACTGAACAACACCTACCTTGGCAATGATGATCAGCTGGTAGGCGGCCAGCGGCAGGGTGATGCAGGTCCTGATGGATGCTGTTGCCATAGCGATGCTCAGCCACCATGGCAACCCGGTTACCTGGTGCGCGCTGACCAGGAAGTTCTCACACAGGTGAACTGGAGCGGAGTCTGACAGGCTGCCGTACCATCCACCTGCGGCGCTGGCTCCTCCCGACCCAGACGCCGGCCTCACGCTAGACTCTGTTGTACAGGTGAGGGGAAGGACAGGAGAAGCCCACCTGCTGAGGACGTCACGTGCACGTGGCTGCAGGACTCTGCACCTCACCAGCCCCCCCACGGTGAGCATGGTGACCACGTGACTTTAAAGCGCCCACGTGTCCTTTAAAGCTAAGAAAACTCCTTTTCCTCACCTTCATCAGAAGCAGTCTGTTTCAAAGCAGCCCATAACTGACCGAGCGTCACTTAAACATGACGTCACTGACCAATGCGGCGCGGAGGTATGACGTAACGATGCTGGAAAAACAGAAATGACAAAAATAAAATAAAATAAAAATAAAAAAACAAAAAATAGAAAAATATCTTAAACAAAAAAGACGGTTCAAATACTAATAAGCTGTTTTGACGACAGCTCACCAGAGCAACCTTTTCTCTTCACAATAAAAGCATGCAGTGGCTATGATGACAGCGCGTGAAACCATTTGAAGGAATTAAACCTCACGAGCGGAAGTACGTGGACAATGCTGGGAACAGAAACTGAGTGGCTTATTTACTCAGCATTAACATTTTATCTCTGGATAAAGCGGGTAAAGCTAATTACTTTCATCTCTTATTGTGAAGGTCTTCAGCGGAAGTTCCCCTGAGGAGGACGGTAGTCATGGCGGAGTTCGGTTCGGGCGGTCTGCTCGCGGCTCTGCTGCTCTTCACAGCCCTCACCTTACGGGATGTTTATGTGGGCCGGTCGGACCACAGAACCGGCGTCTTTGCAGAAACCGAACCGGAGGGCGGGAAACCCCCAAAAGCGGCGCTGTACTCCGGCCCAGTGCTCCAGTTCCGCTACTGGTGAGTTAGCATGCAGGCTAGCAACAAGCGCGATGACGTCACGCTTAACGAACTGAAGTACATTTCCTTGGAGATGAACAGAGATTATGGCTATCATGTCAAACCTGAAGATTAGACTCGTCAAAAGGATTGTTATTCTTCTTTAATGTTTTTAATTATGTGATTTTTTTTGTCCTAACTTTCCTGGTTTAAAATTGCATTTGAATAATAACTTTATGAATATGAATGGGTCTTTGATCTGGACTCAGAATAAGTATTTAGTCACCAGGAAGTTCAGTAATAATTATCAATTATGTCCAACAAATAAATTCATGAATAAATTTATGAAGAAAACAGAATCAGTTTCACATATTTTCTGTATGTTTCAGCAGCTTCCTGTTCAGACCTGAAGCAGATTATAATCTGGTTGTGTGTGTGTGTGTGTGTGTGTGTGTGTGTGTGTGTGTGTGTCCAGCATCTCCTGAGGCTACAGTAAAGTCTTCCAGGAATACTCCCAGGCCATCAGCCAGGTGTATCCAGACATCCGCATCCAGGGGGAGAACTACCCCCCGACCCCGCTCAACAGGTGAGACTGAAGTTCTGGTTCCAGTTCTGGTTCCGGCTCTGATTCCGGTTCTGGAACCTTCTTCCTGAACCCGTCCTCTTCCTCAGGCTCGTTGGTAACCTGGTCTCCTACCTGAAGCTCGTTTCCATCCTCCTCATCATCAGCGGTCAGAACCCTTTCCCGCTCCTCGGTACCGACACGCCTGCAGTTTGGACCTGGACTCAGAACAACAAGGTACCAGACCTGCTGTGCTGTTGCCGTAGCAACAGATGCTGACGATGGCGTTTCCTATTTCCAGATCTTCTCATGTCTGATGGCCTTCTTCATCAGTAACATGATGGAGACTCACTTCCTGTCTACGGGAGCCTTCGAGGTCACGCTGAACGGTGAGTCCTGATTGGTGCAGAGCCGTGCAGCTTCCTGGTGTAACGCTGTTTGTCTTCCCCAGATGTTCCCGTGTGGTCCAAGCTGCAGTCGGGTTACGTTCCGAACATCCAGGAAATGTTCCGGATCCTCGACACACACCTGAAGATGAACCAGGCCGACCGCGTCACCTTCACCTCCACTTAGAGCCGTGCCTCCTTCTCCTGGATCATCTGACCTCTGACCTGTACCTGAGCCGTGCTGCGTTCAGGCTCAGTGGGACGTTCAGCTGTTGGCGTTCATGAAGGCACGGCCTTAAAGCAGATCTGCCGGGCTGCGCCAGATGTCTCCGCCTCCATGCTGACTCCCATGATGCACCGGGCCAACAGCTGGCGTAGACGACGGTCACTTGACCCCTCGTTCTCTGTTCCTCTGTTGTCATTTGTTTACGTTCTTGGTTTATGGATCCAGTTGGCCTGGTTCTGGTACCACTGGACCGGTTCTTTTCTTCCAACAATCATCTGTGTTTTATTTAAAGTTTGAGCTTTTATTGTGAAAACAGGAAGCTGATCACATCAACTTTAACGATCAGCTGATGGATTGTTCACTTCAGCTCAAATAAAAAGTCTTAAAGGAAAATTTCTTCCATGTTCTGCTTGGCAGGTTTCGGTTTGTTACCATGACGACAGATCAAGTAATCCAGACCTGTCAATGATGCGTTTAAAGACCAATGTTAAACCAAGTACATCTGAGACCAATTGGCCAAATCTTTCAGTTCTAAACCAAAGGAAAGCCGATATGACGAGTTAAATATATTCATTGACCTTCATTCATTTGTTTACAGAGTTTTGTTTGTTCTCCTGGAAACAGTGAATAATTAAAGTTTTATTTCCAAAATTGAAGATAATAAAAATGTGAGAATAGGAAATTTGCTTGATATAATTTTAATTCCCATTTTACTGCCTGAATTCATATTCTTTCCATGCAAAACTAATATCCCTCAGAGGAATATTAGTTCCTCTAAGACACTAATAATAAATTAATTTTATTTCTAATAACTATACATTAAAATTATACAAATCTTTTGCTAAATTTTCTTCTAATATGACAATTTCAGAATAAATGATTCTGGAAGCATTTGGAAAAACTTTGTTTTAAGATATTTTATCATATATTGATCAGTTTAAAGAAGACATCTGTCATGTTTAATAAAAGTTTCTGATGAAATCCGTGAACGTTCCTCAGTGAATCAGGGAAAACGGCTGAAGGTGCAGTAACGGAACGGATCATTTGTTTTTCTTCCGCTTCACCAACGGAAACAAGGACATACCTTCATCATCAACGTCATTTCTAGCGTTCCTATATTTTGTTAGTTACAGAATTAAACATAATGTGAAACTTTTCAGGATTTACAGAAAGGTTTGGCCTTGAGGCCGAGTAAAACTTTATAAACAAGTTTTCCTGGTTATTTTCCATCCTGCAGAGGGCGCTGATGAGGCCTCGACACCTGTAAACAACTTCCGCTGCAACAGAACAAGAGAGGAAGCTGCCGTTAGTGTCAGACTCAAAGGGACTGAGTCCGAGTGTTTTCTATTCTCCTGATCGGAACCAAAGTAATCCGGACTGCAGTGATTCATTCTGAGAAGGATCTGTCTCCAGGTGTCAGTGGGTCCCGAAACACACGTGGAGGAGCTGCTGGTGGTGAGTCGGGAAGGCTAACGGCTAACAGCGGTGTTGTGGCGAAAAATGCTTCTGTGGGAAACTGAAACTGCTCTGACGCAGCGACAGCTGCTGCTAGGTCCTGGTTCCGGAGCCGGTCCGGCCATATGCCGGCTACCTGGTCATGTTTTAGGTGTTTGACACACAGTGGTGTTGGATTGTTTTGTGTTTAGGTGGCTGCAAACGAGCCTGATTAAAACTGTGCAGATAAATTGTTTAAAATTCCGTTTGGGTGGAAAGAACCGTCTGGTTCTGTGGATATGAACCTAATCATCAGGCTTTTATGGCACACGGTGACGCTACAATAAAATCTATCAAACAACATAAAGAATTGGAATGAAATATAAACCAGTATTTACACGAAGAGGGTCTCGTTTGGATCTGAACCGTGATTGGTCGAAGCCTGGATGACGTGGATGGACCAGGAAGTGGTCAACAATAGATGATCGGAGACGATTCAATAACCTACACCAAAAAATGAGAGTATTTAAAACATAAGATACGGGCTTATTCTATCTCTTTTAACAAAAACCTCAGAAAAAGAAGAAAAAAACTGACCTGGAATACGTAAGGTTAGTAAATGATCTAAACCTATTATGTGCTAAACAGACATTGACTGATGCAGACAAAAATAACCACCTGACCTCCAAGCTAAATTAGACTGAATCTACGAAAGAAAGGAGCTTTTATCAGATCCAGAGCAAAATGGAGATAAAACCAATTCATACTTCTGCAGACTGGAAACGAGGAGCCAATTAAAAAACACATTCAATCCCTTATTAACAATGAACGTACAGACCAAACTCTAACTGCAAAAGAAATGAGCAACTTTTATCAAAACCTTTATTGCTCTTGTTTTTCAACCCCAGACCTTCTGCTGGAGTCAAAGACTTCATCCCTCTGCAACAAAGATATTCATTTCGAAGAACTAGTCAGCGCCACCATGTGCTTGAAACTGGATAAATTCCCAGCCCTGATGGCCTTACTGCCAATCTCTACAGACATTTCTGGGATTATCTGAGAGAATTTATATTCCAGGTATTTGAAGATCTTATGTAATAATTCTGTAGCAGACCCCCCCTCAAATGAAGGATTTTGGCTTTACTGATGAACAGGTTTAATGGAGTAAAGCCTGAGTTTCACCATAAGAGCTGTATGTACAAACAAAAGACAGTGTAAGCTACAAACGACGCTCTTACAACCATGACGTATGAACTAGAACGTAACGTTCACTACTAAAATATCGACTCTTATTCACAAACCAAACCAGTATTCTTGTACAATACAGCAAATTTACAATTCCAATCAATCAATAAACGAAACATCCTTATTTACAAATAAACGTACCATGTGCCGCTAATAATAAGATGCATTTTACGACTCTGTTGCAACTTGTCTTCCGTTGAGTTGTTAAGCTGCCCTTCTATAATATAAACAAAAGAAGCTGTCTTATCAAAATAAAAGCATCAAGTTAAAAACCGGAAGTCAATCATATATTACACAAAATTAATGCAATAAGTGCAAAAGGGGGAATACAACAAATAATACAACAAATGACCCCAAATAATTTGGGGTTAGTTACAAATTCACTTCCTCCCAGCATGAAGCAGGGCGTTATCACCCTGAAACCCCAACCAGGAAGAGACGGACAGGTTCTAGACAACGACCGTCCATCACCTTCTGAACTGTGATTACAAACTACTGACGTATATCTACACAGACAGACTGGAGGCCGGCCTGAAGGATGTTATCTCTGAAACACAGACAGGTTTCACGTCTAAAAGCTCTGTACACGATAACATCAGACTGGTGCAGGATTTACCCGAGTACAGTGACCTGATTGAGGATAAAGGCTTCATCCTTTTACTTCTACAAAACCTTTGACACGTTGGAGCATTAGTTTGTTTTCAAAGTTTTACACATATTTAGATTTGGACCAAACTTCTAAAAGCTTTTGCAACACGTCCAGCTGCACTGCCACACGGTGCGTCTCCACGTTTCACCATTAACAGTAAAACATGGAGGCAATGTTTCCCCTTCCTCTTCACCTTGGCCGTTGAAGGGATGAGGATCTTCATAAAAAACTCAAATATACCTAAATTAAAAGTTTTTGATCACCAAATTTTAATCAGTCAACTAGCTGATGACACCACAATTTTTTTGAGGAGTTGAGACCAAACCCCTAAAGTACTGGAGTTAATTAATACTTTCTCCAAAGCATCAGGTTTAACCTTAAACCTGCAGAAATGTGAACTGATGGCGATTCATGACTCTGATCAGAAGTTTATTCCCATTAAATCCTGTTAAATATCTTGAAATCTAATAACTAAGATGCTAAACTCAGTGAAACTGCTAACGCAGAGAATAAATTACAGAAAGAGTTCTGACCCTGTTTGGGAGAACCTGTTTAACCAAGATGGAGTCGCTGTCCCGATGCATATACCTGCTTATTCTATGGCCAAACCTGACAAATACATTAAAGATATAAATCAGCTGAACTTTAATTTCTACTGGAAAAATCGAGTCCACTACTTAAAGAAAGCTAATATGGTTAAAGATGGAGGTTTACAAGCTGTTGAATCTGAATGTTAAATGCGGTCTTAAAGGTAAACTAGCTGAAATCTTTTCTAATGAAGGGAAACAGTGTCTGGTTTTGTCTCCCCAAAGGTTTGTTTAAAAAAACTGGATGCATAGATTTTGTTCTTAGAGTGACTTTGGTGCTGACAGACTTCCTGTTGAGTTATCTGCTGTTCACCAGCAGGTGTTGTTGTGTTGGAAACTTATGAACACGAACAGCTTCACTCCTCACCACAGATGAGAGCTGCAGGAATAAATCTGTGTTTGGATGGAAGAAGGTATCTGGTCCATGAGACATTGTCTAAATAACAGGCTCTCAGTTTAACAGTAATGAACTCTATCCCCTCTGCAGTCAAATATCTGGTTAAAATATAATCAACCAGCTAACCTTCAGTCACTTCAACTGTTTGGATTTAACCTTCTGGACAAAAGTAACTAACAAACGGATGCCTCAGCATCTAACTAACTTTATATTTCCTATCAGGAAACAAACTTAAAACTCCATTTTAAGTTTGTTTCCTGATTCAGAGGTTAATAAGTGGAGAACTGCTGACCTTAAAGACCCTCTGAGTCCTAGAGATAAAGAAGTTCATTTTAAAATCCTCAATAACGTTTTTCCATCCAGGGAACTTTTACCACAAGGATTCAGCTTTGACACCAACAGCTGGACCTTCTGAAGCCAACTGGAAACTTTCAGGTCTGGATCTCAACTAAACTTTTCTTCCCCTTAAAAACGGAGGATGTAATATTTGGAGCAGAAGAACCGACCTGGTACTGAACAACCTGCTGATCCTGTAAATATGGAAATAGAAAAACTGACTTTAAAAACCTTCACAGCCTTAAAACTGATGGGGAACAAGGAGGGAATGCAACTGATGATGAACTGGATCTATGTGAGAACTAGTTCCTCTGTCTTTTCTGTTTGATGTCTGACAAATTGTATTTATTTATATTTTTAACTATTTTTGCTTTTCTTGCATAATCAAACTAAGCAGCCGCTTAGGGCCCCAGGGCCACTAAGGGTCAGTGGAGCTGATTTTATTTTTTTTTTTTTTTAGTAATAATTTCTATGTCATTATAATATCAAAAACACAATTTCACTATGAAGTGATTTGTTTTTACAATAATATATATTTGATAATGTATATAAAAAGTATTATTTTATCAATAAAAGAAAAAATAAATTTCTCTTGGGGCCCCCTGGTGGCCGCGGTAGGTACCGCACGCTCCGCCGGTAACATGAGCTGCAATGAGCATCCAAACGTCCAAAGCTCCGGTCAGAAGCTAAGCTAGCAAAACAATGTCTCAAAAAGGACTTAACCTTCAGGGAGGGAGAGAAGAAAGAGGAAGAACAGAAAACAGCCCAGATAAAGGTTTGTTTTAATGAGCCTTGGTGATGTAAAGATTAGTAAAGCTGCTAGTAGAAATTAGCCTGATAGCGACCTGGACCGGTCCAGTTCAACAGCCAGACATTTATGCTAGGCTCTTTGTGTTAAACTGAGTTTAACTTTAAATGAGTTGATTCTCAGAGTGGTTCTGTATATTTCTGAGGTATTTTTGGCTTCAAAACGACGAGTTTGATAACATTTGATAATTAAAACTTCTCAGTGTCTGACATTGTCTAGCTAAATGTTTCTACGTCAGGCTACATGGATGAGCTGCTCTGTGCTGTAGCTGGGATTTGCTGTTTGCTGCTGAGCAGAAGCATTTTGTGGCTAAAACAAACTATTTTTACATCGACTTCTAAGTTGAAAAAAGACTCACCTGGTATAAATTACATTTTTAGCTATTGGAGTTACGTTTAAGAGAAATGAATTTAATCAGAGAATGTCATGAATGTGTGTGTAGGGCTGCAGTTTTCTGGCCGATCCCTGGTTACCGATCTTTAAAAAGCCTGAGCTGCTGATTTTGGTTTTGGCTGATATGAAGTTTTTTGTCTGAAATGTTGCTAAATGTAGCAAGAAAGTCACTGCAACAGTGAATATTGCAACAGGGGGTGAATATTGTTAACTGTAAAGGTTCAGACCTGTTGGTCTGTCAGTCAAACCTCTCACTGCAGAGCAGAAGAGGACAGAGTTGGAAATATTACTTTAAGTTAGTTTTAATGCTAGCTTTAACTTTAGCGCAAGGTGAAATATAAGACTGATCCTGATTGTTTTGAGTCGGCCTCAGTTTAGGTTAGATTTAGACTCATAGTTTAATCAATATATACCGTATTTTCCGCACTATAAGGCGCACCTAAAAACCTTCAATTTCCTCAAAAGCTGACAGTCGCCTTATAATCCGGTGCGCCTTATGTATGGACCAATATTGAGCCACAACAGGTCTAGCAACTACGGTAAGCAGCCGCCGACTTCATTTTCGCCCATAGAAGAGGAAGCACACGGTGCATGCTGGGATAGTTGTCAGAACGCTGGTTTATTAATAAAGTTTGACTGACCTATCTACCTACCGACCGTCTATAATCAGGTCGTCTGCAGGTCGTTTAGCACCAGGTTCTCCACCAACATGCTGTGGGCGAACAGAGAAGGGTGACCATCGGCTCTCCTTGCTGACCGGAGTCGGACTGTTTTGTTGACATTCACTTTAGTGCAGCTCCATCTAGTGGATGCATAACGTAACTCCAGCCTCTACTGTAGCGTCTATTCTATGCGCCTTATAGTGCAGAAAATACGGTAACTTAATCAGTAGAACATTTTTCTTGGATATAATGATCACGATTTGATTAAAATGAGTCTAATCATTAGTTTTTTATATTAGATCACATTCTTAGTGTATAAATCATATATTCATTTGAAAATGTTTTAGTTCATTATAACCAGAAAACTAATCAGAACATATTGAGTGTAACAGATGTTTTGGTAGTGAAACTTCTCATCTCTGAGTTTGAAGATATTATATGAAATGTGATCATTTTTATAATCAAAATCTGCTGTTTAATGCTCTATTTCAGAGGTCAGAGGTCAGCAGAGCTCTGTGGGTTCAGGAACCAGTTTAAACCAGTTTGAAATGAAAAACACAGATAGCTGATGAACTTTGGTCCCGTTTTCTTGAGTAAAATGTTTCTGTATGAAATGAACACATCTATTGTTCCTGCCCTGGGAAAGTAACAGGGAGGATTAGACAGTGGACAGATTCATCCTTGGCCTTGGTAACACCTGCAGGGTCTCTGGCTGCAAACAGCAACATTACGGCTGTTTGAGTTCACCAATAAACGGGACGTCAGACGCATCAGACAGTAGAAACGCGCCTGGATATAAAAGTAATGGAGCTAAAACAGCCAATCAGATCGCAGGATGGAGGATCTGTCTTAACTGCCACTCAGTGCTCTCTGAAGGCGCATCTTCATATTTTGCATTTGTTTGACTGACCTATCTACCTACTAGTAATTAATGTTTCCTTTCTGGCTTGGTATTTGATGGTCATATTGAGCTGTTGGTCTGATTTTATGCATTTGATTGTCTGAATAAATTCTGGATGGTTGTGAAGTTGAACAGTGACTGTTGTCTTTGTGGTTTCACTTTTACACACGACATTAACAGAGCAGGAGAGACGAGAGAACAACGAGCAGCAGGTAGAAAATGTCTCGTTTCTCAACAGCAGAGGCTGATTTTTGAACCTTTGCTGATGAAGATAAGATCAGGGGATAAGATGGGCTTCAGATGTAAGTATCAGCCAATCACGATCCCCCAAAATTAAAGAAATTGGCGGCCAAAAATCAACTGGTTGATAAATCAGTTGGCCAATAAATGTATCTTATATTATTCATGTATACAATGTAAACAGTCAGAGATGCAGTAAGTTTATAGCAGATGTGTGAATGACATAATGGTCGGACTGCTGACTGCAGCCGGTCCACACTGTTAGCAGAACTAGAGGCCCCAAAACCAGATTTGGCTTAGGGCCCCATGGAGGCTGGGGCCCCATGGAGGGCTGGGATATCCTCAAAATCAAACGATAGATGATCAGGAGGGCGGAGCTTCCCTTAGTTCTTGCTTCAGACCGGGTTCTGGTCCGATTCAGAACCAGTCAGAAATGTCTGTTCTGTGTTTTCACACAGAGTAAACCACAGCGTGTGGATCACCTGGATCCAGGTGTGAACCCAGAGAGCTAACTGACCTCTTCAGGACATGAGCAGCTCGGTGAGTCAGTTTGATCTGTAGACCTCTGAGCAGCTGCACCTGTCCAGGTGAAGAAGGCTCCGCCCCCTGCTGACATCACATCCTGCGTTTCAGGCTCAGAGGAAGCGGCGGCCCGCTGGAAGCTCTCTGGTCTCCAGAACCAGAACCAAGACCAGCAGAGCGGCCAGCAGCCGGACCCGCAGGGCGGCCGGCGCCGGAGACCCGCCCCCCCCCCCGGAGCCCATCGACGTGATGGACGGTGCTGAGGACGGTCGGTGTAGAACCAACGGACCTGGAGCCGGTCCAGAACCTCCGGTTCTGCAGAATGGTCCGGCTCATGTGGCTCTGCTGTGTCCAGGTGTGGAGGAGGTGGTGGACCTCACCTGCGAGGGATCAGAGTCTGCTGTGGTCGACCTGACGACCAACAACGAGTCTGTGCTGGTAAACAAACCAACCAACCAACAGGAAGCTGCTTCTCACAGCCTCATAACTCTGCTTCTCTCTCTCCTGCCCCCAGCTGGTGGACGAAGGTAAAACCTGGATCTGCTCTCATGTCCTCACACTGGACCAGTACCAGACCGTAACAGACCTTCTTGGTTCTTCCGTCAGGGCCTCCAGGTGAGAGCTATGTTCTCAGCAGTGATGAGGACGAAGACGCGCCCACTGTCGTTCAAGCTGCCATCACCTCTACTGCACACACATCCAGGTATTACACTGATTCCTGCCAACATCTTGGTCTGGATTTTTCTCTATCCATCCATTTTCTCCCACCTTTATCCGATTGGGGTCTCTAGCCAGACATTTCAGGCGAGAGGCAGGGTCACCTGACGGGTCACCTGACGGGTCACCTGACGGGTCACCTGACGGGTCACCAGTCCATTGCAGGGCAATACAGAGACAGACAGGACAACCAACCATGCACGCACTCACACCTTAGGAGAATGTAGAGACCAATCAACCTGACAGTCATGTGTTTGGACTGTGGAGGAACCTGGAGAACCGGACAGAACCACCATGCCCAGGGAGATCCTGCAGAAAGACCCGGTCTGGGAATCGAACTCAGGACCTTCTTGCTGCAACAGGGCTACCCACTGAGCCACTCTGCAGCCCAGATTTTTCTCCAGAAGCTTTAACTTTGGGTCTTAGTCGTGGTTCCGGCCGGGTCCAGTCAGGTCCGGTGTGTTCTGGGTTCTCTTTGTTTGAACCAGTTTTTAGTTGCATGTAGTTTGTTTTTATGATATCTAGTAGGTTTTGGCCTTCTCGCCGTTTGGTTCTATTGAGCTTGTTTAGAAATAAACCAACCCTCCAGGAAGTAGACGGCTCCGGTCTGACATCAGTAACTTGTTGCTGATTGGACACCAGAACCAGAACCTTTCAGGCTGTGTCTGTTGCAGGTTGACTCCGGGTCTCATCAGCTGTCCCGTCTGTCTGGACCTGTACTCCGAGGTGAGATTCCCTCGCTGGTGGAACCGGATCAGAACCAGAACATTGCTCTCTGGTCAGGTGGGCAGACTTTACAACCCCGGTCCTGCGTTCTGATTGGCTCTTGTTTTCCTCACAGATCGTGGAAAGCGGGCGATTGGTCGTCTCCACTAAGTGCGGTCACGTGTTCTGCAGCCAATGTCTGAGGGACGCTCTGACATCATCACACACCTGCCCCACCTGCAGGAAGAGGCTCACCTCGCGCCAGTACCACCCTCTTTACATCTGACACCTGGTGACATCATCTGCGGACTGTGCTGCTATTGGCTGTCCTCTGTGACGTCATCATCAACGTTAATCAACAGTGGTTGCTTTAAATGTTTTTTGAGTTTAGGTTTAAAGATGGCGGATTAAATGATGTTTTCCTATTAAATAAATATTATGGAGTAACAACGGCTGCTTGGCTGATTGGTCAGATGGCATCAGGTCCCGCCCATCAGGTTAACCACACAACTCACAGAACCAAATTCAAACTATGATGATTTTCATTGTTTAGATTTCTAATGTTCATTCTTATAAAATAAGCAGTACTGCAGAAGGTCCAGCAGGGGGCGTTTGAAGGTTCTGGTTTATTCTTTTCATTTCATTTGTAATTTAAACTTTTATCTTTCAGATTTTTAAATAAAATCTGTTCTCAAAATATTTAATTTCCTCCTAAGTTTATTTTTACTTGCTGTTTGGACCCTGGGAGCACCAGAACCGATCGGGTCCATAAATCTGGAGTTACCTCGTCACAACAGAACCGGTCCGATGGGAATAACAGTTCTGGATCAGAAAGGTTCTGGAAGTTCTCACGTCTGCCTCCCTAAATATCTCTGAAGGAGTTCCTCAGGGTTCAGTCTTTGGGCCTCTGCTGTCTAATCATTTATATGAAAATCTGCAACTGTAATCAAAAAGCTAATTATCATTTCTCTGCTGATGATGCTGTGGCCTTTATTTGATAGTTAATTGACAGGAAAGTGGGTAATGAGAAAAGGGGGAAGACATGCAGCAAAGGCCAGGAATCGAACCTGTGACAGCTTTGTTGAGGACTAAGGCCTCCATATGTGGGTTGTGCTGAACCCCTGCGCCACCACAGCATCAGTTCTAAACTCACTCAGGAGTTAAATCCTACCCATGTTTACAGAAATCAAAACTGAAGGTTCTTTAGGATCAAATTCAGTTTATCTTTTAAAGCAAAATAAAAACTTGTAACTTGTCTGTCTTGGTTTTTGCTGGTCGATGATCCGGAAGGAGCAGAACGGAAAACTTCTGGATCACATCTGGGTCTTCAGTTTTCCTGCTGAGTCATGATCCATCAGCAGCTTTCATCCCGTGACGCCGACTCATCATCTCACCCACTTCCTGCTTTGGGAGATAAAACTTTATTGACAATGAGAAACAAAGAGCAGACCAGAAGCTTCTGGATCCTCCACAGAACCCTGACCCAGATTCTGAATCTGTGGTTCTGCTCGGGCCGGTTCTGTTCCATCTAACTGAACTGGGTCTGGTTCTTTGGTGATGTTGGATCACCTGAATGATTCCTAAAATAAACACAAATATATGACAACATTCAAAGATTACTGAAGTTTTTAACATTGACGTGTTTGATTTTATTGTTTTTGCATAATTTCTGCTCTGTTTATAACACGGAGTTTTCCAAAACATTAATGATCATAAATAAATGAAAACATGTCAGTTTGGGAGTTTTACTGTTTGGTTCTGATTGAGTTCTGCAGGTGTGTTATAGGGGGAACCCCAGGAGGGAACCCCTCTCCCCAAATTACTGTAAGCATAGAATATTTTTTTTAATAATACAGAAATATTAAAAGCACAGAGTGTTTGTTTTCTTGACGTAAAGCCCTTGCTGCTAAAATGTGCTACATAAAGCCATGCCGGTTAGAAACGTGACTCGGGTGTTTCTCCTCCATTTGCTTTAAGAAGCAACAGATGAGAAACATCTGTGTGTAAAATCATTAACACACCAGCAGGCTGGAACAGGAGCAGGGACGTTTTTCCTGCTTTGTCTGAAATTAGCTTCTTTTTGGCAACTAACTGGTTCAGCTAGTAGCCTGGCTTATGATGCCGAACAAACGCAAACCAGTAGCCTGTAGAGATAAGCTTAATGCATATTTTTATTGACATCTGTTTCCAGATAAATACATATACGTATTTATCTCGCTGGCCAGTTGCTAGCTGGTTTCTGCTGTAATTTAATTTAATACGTCTTTATATCTTTAAGTCAATGTTTTTTGTTAAATATCTGTTTTTTGTCTTTCTCTTGACAGACGTTTCATTTCATTTAAGGTCAAAATTTGTTCAGTTTTGACTTTAAAAACTGGACATTTTTCTGATCCTTTTATTAAAATCTTATATGTTATCTATTACTTATGTACATATATATATAGCTTTATCTTAGTGGTGAAATGCATTTATAAGTTTCAGTACTTTGTGGCCTAGTTATGTGTAAATGTATATTTATAGTTTAATAAAACTTGTAGTGAAGCTAATTGATGGACCATAGAGGGAATTAGAGCACGGTGCCAATAATTACTGTTAAATGACATCATAAAGGTGAATCTTTACCGCCAGATATTGTTGACATCGCTGGTTGAACATGAAACCTGTTTCTGATGCAGAACAATGTTCCAACTCTTATTACTATTAATAACTTTAACAAGTTGAGGCTCTAACCTGTAAGGCAGAAGGACTTCCGCCTGGTTACAGGTGGTATCCAGGTATTTTTCAGGTGTAAAAAGATGTTTTGTCTTCGCACGTAGATGGACTTCAATGACCTTAGTGATGACGTAGCGCATCGTCACCGTGACTCAGGTGTTTTTCCTCAATGATCTGGCCGGCCGGTCACGCGGCTCGCTGGAAAGTCCCGCACGGACTCGCCCCGTAGCCTCCCATCGGTCAGGGCGGGACTCCGAGCGGGCCAATGGGAGCCCGCGTACGCCAGGCAGCGGTGACGTCGGAGGCGGAAGTAAACATAAAAGGCCGGAGATTTCAAGCTGCGTCACAAACTTTCAGACTTTGTAGAGTTCGTGTTCGGATCCGCTCGGCCCGTCTCTCTCTCTCTCTCTCTCTCTCTCGGTTCAGTTCGGTTCCGGTCGGGATGTCGGTGACAGTAAAGGCTTACCTGCTGGGGAAGGACGAGCAGGTGAAGGAGATCCGCCGGTTCACGGTGGACCAGGATGTTTCCTGCAGCTTCGAGTACCTGAGCCGGAAGGTGGCGGCGGTCTTCTCCAACCTGAGCGGCTCCACCTGCAGCCTCTTCTACAAAGGTGAGCGTCACGTGACCTGCACACATCCTGACGCAGCTTGGTTTAACTGTTTTAATGAGAAGAGTTCAGAGGTCAGCCTCAGGCAGCTGGAGCTCCAGATGTCCAGGTGTATTTCAGCTTCTCCAGCTTTTCTGGTTGATCCAGAGGTTTCCAGGTGTTTTGGTTTCAGAGTAAAACCGAACCCAGTTGTTCTGGTCCGACCTGTAAACTCTCAGGTCACGTGACCTTGTTTGTTTTTCTGCCACGCCCCTCAGCTGGTACACCTGTCCTGTCTCCTCTGGGTGTAAACAAACTCCTCATCACCATGGAGACCGTTTCCTTTACTGTGCCGACAGCTCATTGGTTGGACTCCTCTGCATATCTAAATGGACTTGGTTGCCATAGTTACCTGGTTGTGGTCTGCTCCTTCTGTCTGAGTCGCTCAGAACCAGAACCGACCCAGCCGGTCAGGTTCTATTCAAGACGTTTTAACGAATCAGAACCAGGTGACCCGGTTCCTTAGGAGGTTCTGGTTCCAGTCACATGACCTCCCTGTCTGAAGCTGAAGTGGGTGTAGCCACAGAGGCCTGCTCTGATTGGCTCCTGATGCTAGTGACGTCATGGTGTTTCAGATGAAGATGGAGACCTGGTGGCGTTCTCCTCCGACGATGAGCTGATGATGGGGCTGAGCTACGTGAAGGACGCCACGTTCCGCCTCTACATCAGAGGTACGGGGGCGGGGAGTGTGCGCTACAGTGTGTGTGTGTGTGTGTGTTACTGTGTGTGTGTGTGATGATGCTGCGTCTGTCTCAATAGTTTTAACTCCTCACAGAAAGGAAGGAGCACCGTCGGGACTTCCCTCTTCACGCCTTCCCCCCCTTCGCCTTCGGCCCCCCTCCTCCACCTCATGGCCCCGCCCACATGGCCCCGCCCCCCGCCGTCCACCCTAACGTGACTTGCGACGGCTGCGAAGGCACGGTGGTGGGAACGCGCTTCAAATGCTCGGTGTGTCCCGACTACGACCTTTGCTCCGCCTGCCAGGCTCAGGGGAAGCACACTGAGCACGCTCTGCTGCCCATCTGGCACCCTCTGCAGGTGAGGCCTGGGACTGCAGGGTCATGACTGACGGAAACTGGAAAATGTCACAGAGTATGAAACGACGTGAACGCTGCGTCCTCCAGACCACTAGGGGGAGTCAACCAGCGCACTGCATGGGACCAGGACCTCAGTAAACACTGTGGTCTTTGACTCCATGATCTGAGACGCTGGCTCATTTGTGCTAAAATATATAATTTTAGATTATTAATGATTTATTTCACATTTCTAGAGAATAATTGAATTGATTTTGATTATAATTCAGTAAGAAATCGCATGTTGGATTCACGGGACTGTAAGGTATCTAGGCCATCAGACAAAAATCATTTTTATTATCAGATCTTTTGTTACTTTCTCTAAAAGACTGTAGTAGACTACAGGTACACAGAATTTTATTTTGCCCTCTTTCCAAGAATTTGTTTATCAAACAGGAATGCACTTAGTAATTTTTTTTTCCTGTAATTTTGTTCTTTTTATTCTATTTATATTACACAGTGAACTAAAAGAAATAAAAATATCGTAGTGGATATTTGAGCTGACGGATCATGTTTCTGGAACATTCATATCTTTTCTCAAACACTTTGTTTTTCACATTATAGAAAAACATTTATTATTGCCTCATCTCTGTAGACGATAACTGCATCAGACTCCCCCTAGTGGTTTGGAGGCAGTTTGCAGCATTTCCTGTTTTGTCTGTTGATCATTCGTTCGTTTTAGTGCTTGCTCCTGATTGGCTGGCTGATTGGCTCTGACCACCTGTAGGTGGAGCCAATCAGAAGAGCTGCTGTGTTGTAACAGGAAGTGGTTGTTTTGGCTCCGCCCACAGCACTGGTTTCCTCGGGGGAAGTGGATGAAGAGGATGAGACACTGTGGAATGTGGAACCAGAATCCAAACCCGGAGCAGAACCAGAACCAGGAGCAGGCTGGGGCTGCTAAACCTGCAGCGGACAGCAGCGCCCCCTCTGGTCAGTTATGAGAACAGAAATCTGTTGAAGCTGAAGGCTCAGTCAGCTGACTGACCTCTGACCTCTGTGCAGCCTCCCAGGCCAGCGTGGACTTCCTGAAGAACATCGGTGAGGGCGTGGCCGCCATGCTGAGCCCGCTGGGTGAGTGATGTCACAACACACTCAGGACTTCCTGCTGAACAGGAAGTGATGTCATCTCTGTCTGCAGGCATCGACGTGGACATCGACGTGGAGCACGAAGGTCAGAAGACCAAGGTGACCCCACCCACTCAGAGCGGCGCAGGGCCAGGTGACGTAGAGATGAACGAAGAGGGTGGAGCCAGCAACGAGGACGGAGCCAACCAAGGGTCAAAGGTCAGTCAGCAGCTTTAAAAACCCTGGAACCGATCAGGGATCAATGAGTCTCTGATCGGAACTCCTGGCTACAGGTGAGCCGGGACTCTGATGAGGAGTGGACTCACCTGAGCTCCAAGGAGGTAGACCCGTCCACAGGGGAGCTGCAGTCGCTGCAGCCGGATGGCCGGGCGCCGCCGGAGCCTGGGGCCCCGCAGCAGGGGCCCACCGGCCTGCGGGAGGCCGCGCTCTACCCACACCTGCCTCAAGGTGAGCAGCACACTCTGTCTCTCTGGTTGCCATGACCACAGCGTCGCTAAGCTCCGCCCCCTTCCTTCCAGAAGCCGACCCGCGTCTGGTGGAGTCGCTGGCGGCCATGTTGTCCATGGGCTTCAGCGACGAAGGAGGCTGGCTGACTCACCTGCTGCAGGCCAAGAACGGCGACATCGGCGCTGCGCTCGACGCCATCCAGTACGCCAAGCAGCCCCGCCCACATCAGTGACATCACCTCAGCAGCGGCTTCCTGTAGCCCGTTAGCATTCAGCCTGTTAGCATTTAATCAGTAGCTGCAGTCTCAGCTCTATAATCAATAGATTTATTTGTTCCTTGGTTTCTGATCAATAAAAACCTGAAATGATGTCAGAATGTGTTTGAGTCTCTGATGTAAACAACAGTCACAAACAAAAAGAGTCTAAAAAGTCAGAAAATCCTCAAAGTCGAAGTCTTCGCCGCTGTCAAACATGGAGGACACAGGAAGTTGGGGGCGGGGCTCGGCAGTGTCTGCTGGCTGACTCCACCCACTAAGAGGATGCTCCGCCCCCCAGCTGTCAGCACTGAGGAACTGACCCCACCTGGAGCCGGACCCACTGGGGGCCGCTGATGATGTCACAGATGATGTCACTGCTGTATGTTTCAGCTGCACAGAAGAAGAGACGATGAATCTGAAGGTTTTTTGTTCCAATAAAACGGACATCACAGCATCAGCCAATCAGAGCAGAGAGGTGAGTCATGTGACATTAAAGTTTATAAATAGGAGGGTTTCAGCTGCCCCCTGCTGGATGATTCTGGAACTGAATCCAGTTAACCTGGCACCGCTTTCCAGCAGCTTTAAAAATAAAATAATTCTCCAGGGTTGTCATAGCAACGTGAGCAGCAGGTGTGTTACCTGAACAGGTGTGTAGCCTTCGTCTCCTCTTCCTCCTCCCAGCTCCTCTGGTCTGCGTCTCTTCCTGGAATAAAGATCAGCAGATTGTTGATTATTGATCAGTTATTTCTCTCTCTGCTCTGGTCTGCTGGTTCCAGTTGGTAAAACCAGTTTGGAACCAGTAAACCAGACACACATTAAACTCAAAGTCACCTGCTAAAGGTTTGGTTGCCATGGAGATGGTGTCTGCCCTCCAAGCCTTCCTTCTCTTCCTCAGGTGTGTCCAGATATTTGCTCCAGCGACTCACCTGAGCGGGTCTCACCTGGTCACCTGCAGGCTGCTGCTCCTCCTCCTCTTCCTGCTCACTGTGAATGAAGCATAAGGAGGCACCAGGTGAGAACACCTGAGTTCAGGTGGTTCCACAGACCAATCAGACAAAATGCAGCAAGTAATTCAATATTTCAGCAAAATCTTTTCCCTAACTTGGCACAGATGTTTCCAGAGAAACATTTGCCACTGGAAAAATTCAAGATGGCCACCATGGTTGTCATGGAGAATATGTTTGAACTAAAATCAACTGTAGTAATTACCAGAAGTGGGTACTGCTAACCAAAAGTTAGCTTCACTAGCTGCTAACAGTCTGAGCTACGCTACACTAATCTCCTAAACACATTAAAACATTAGCAGAAGCTAACGCTAACATCAGTCCCTCCTGGTCCGAGACTCGCTAACAGCTCTTGAGCCGGCCGACCGAAGAGGAAAACAAAATGCGACATAAACTTCATCCAGATGGGAGACATTTTGGTGAAATGGCTGAAAAATTCAGCCAACTTTGAACAAATGCGGAGAAGACCAACTGTTGTTGGGAACCAGTGTTCCCAGTGTGGAGGGCAAACCGCACTGCTGGTTCAGGTGAAGGTGTGTGTTACCATAGCGACCAGGTGTGGGCCTCCTGCTCCTCCATCTTGGCTCCCCTCATGGCGTTCAGCTTCTGGACGTGGCGCCGGCAGTCAGCTCCGGATCCACGGCCGAATTCCTGCCCACCAAAAGTTCTGATCAGAGTTCTGGAGAACGACCCGGAGGAAAGCAGAACTTTAACAGAACCAAAACATGAATGAACGACCCAGAACTCACAGCAGCAGGAACAGAACCATCCAACCCAAACATCCTGAAACGGTTCTGACTATCAGAACCTCGTTCTTTAACAGGTCGTGGTCAATCGGAGACCAGGGGACAATGGTTCTAGTTCTGTCACACTTTGGACCACTCCAGAGAAGCTAAACAGGAAATAATCAGTCGCTACAACAACATGGACTTCCCCGCCCTCCTTCCTGCTTGTCAGCCAATAGGGAAGCAGGTCAATGTGGGCAGGTTGACTCCGCCCCTCCAGCAGGTGGAGCCGTGGTTGTCCAATCAGAAACCCGGACAAGGTCCAGTTCCAAATGAGGGGAGAACACAGACCTGGAGCCGGGTTCTGACCCGATCACTGACCCGTTGGGGTTCTGATGCGGTTCTGACCTTCAGCAGTGACTGCTTCTCTCCACACAGCTTGCAGCTCCATTTCTTCGCCTTCTTCACCTGCCAGACAAGAAGCAGGGAAAACGCTCAACATGGGCTGATTAAAGGTCCAATCTGGGATCAGAACCAAAATAAGCAGAACTTTGACTTTTAATATGATAATTATTATAATAATTCATAATTTGGCTGGAAATGTGTTTGTTTACGTCAGAGGAGTCCAAACCTTCGGCGCCAAAACACAGAATAAGTTCACGGCTGCTTTTTCAGTCCAGCAATAAATAAGATGCAATAATTTTATAAAACAAAGTTAAAAATGTTTTTTTTTAAAAAGCTCAAAAGTTTTCTTTATTAAAAGAAAGATGTTCCTTTTCTTTATGGGTCTAATTCTTGTATTTTCTTGTTCTGGAACATGGTTTCAGTTTTTTCTCAGCATCAAGAACTTTGAGTAAAGGTTTGCTATCACATCATTGGCTCCATTTACCGGGACAGATCTGAACCCACAAAACGAGTCCAACGACCCCAAACGGCCCGCGGGCCGCACTTTTAGCACCTCTGGTTTACAGGTGGGAAATAAACTGAATATATTCTGGACTTGAACTTTCACCTCCGGTCTGCTGATTGTTCTGGCGACTGAATCCCAGATCCAGATTCCAGAACCGGACCGCTGACTTCTGGTCGGTCCAACAGAACCACGAGTTTCTAAACGGAACATTTTTAACAGGATGTCACCTACCAGCTGCCGATATTTAGCCGTTTTCTGTAAGTGAACGAACCTCTGACCGGAAGTCAGGCAGAAGCTAACCGGACGCTCACCTGCTGCACCTGGAAGCTCTGGCAGCGGAAACACCGAACCACGTGGAAGTCCTGCACCATGACCGGCCCGCAGCTCTGGTTCTGGTTCTGGTTCTGGAAGGCAGCGCGTTCACCGGCTCCCGCGGTTCCGTTTGAACCACGCTTTGACGTCACAAGGAGCGGAAGAATTGGGAAGAATGACACGGGAGGAGCGCCCCCTGCTGGGAGGAGGAGCCTGAATCCGGAACCATGTTTTTTTTTTATTACCATCATATACAACAAACATGGTATCGGCATCAGATGTATAGAAATCTAAAGAGCCTGAGGAAACGACCCAGGCTGCTTCCATACATACAGAAGAAACGAAGCAAACAAACAAAAAGCCATCAGGGTTTCCAGCAGTTCCAGATTGTTTGTCATATGATCCAGTTCTGCATCTTGATGTTTGTCCATGAATTTTAGAGATGAGAAGAGGTGGCAGAGTCCCTTGTGAAAAGTGGGGAAAGATGGTTTGGCTTTAAGAAAACAACATTTTTTATTGAAAAACTTGGCCATAATAATGATTACATTTAATAACCTTTTGAATTTATTTTCTCAGAGTCCCATAAATAACGTCTTTCTTAGAAAATTCAGGTAAGTTTGGAGTTTTAGGGAAAAGCCAGTGGTGCACATCATCACAGAAAGATTTACACATTCATATAAAGATGTTCAGTCTATGAACTCCTTAGGCCAGGGGAGCCCAAAGTGGGTCCTGGAGCCCCGGCATCCTGCATGTTTTAGTTGTCTCCCTGGCTTAACGCACCTGCATCACATGATGACTCGTTATAAGGCCTAAGGAAAACATTGACTTGTCATTCCCACCACTAGGGAGAGAACTAAAACATGCAGGATGCCGGGGCTCCAGGACCCACTGTGGACACCCCTGCCTTACAGGGAAAAACACCTGAGAACATTTTGAAGTGGACTCCTTGGCTTTGGAGGAACAGGAAGATTTAAATCATTTGTTCTAATTTTTTCCCTTTGAACCTTTGAAGAGAAATGTGATATAAAATTTGGATTTGATACATAGGGAAACCAAGCACTAGTTAAGCATTCCCTAATTTTTGAGTTCTTTAGTTTATGACCTGTGACACTGGTCCCAATAGTCCAGGCAGATCCGGGTTCTGTAATCTGGGATCTCAGAAAAACATTTAGCTGTACATCAAATATTTGGGGGAATATCTCTAATAACTCTTTGAAATTCATTTTTATTTATTTGCAGGTTGACGTCTTCAAAAGACATAAAACCTCCATTATTTAATATCACAGACCAAACGCCTTGTTCTGGCCAGTTATGTGCAGATTGATTATTAATTTTTCTGTAACATCAGTT